TGCTTCTGTTGTGGTGGTGGTGATGATTGGTGCTTCGGTGGTGGTTGGCGCTTCGGTGGTAGTTGGTGCTTCTGTGGTGGTTGGCGCTTCAGTTTCGGGCGCTTCCGTTTCGACTGCTTCAGTTGTGGGCGCTTCACGCACAAGATTTTCATTCACAGGCGGCAAATATTCATTGGAAATTTTCAATTGAGGCACTTCCGGTTGTGGCACATCCAATTGTGGTGGCAAGTAGTGGCTTGATACACGCGCAGCAGGTAATGGTGGCAGATAGCCGAGATTCAGATGGGAGACATCACGACGTTGACGTAGGCGGAGTTTGCGTACGGCGCGGTATTCGTAGCCATTTTCACCAAATACAGCTGTCTCCGGCACTGCTTCGGTGGCGGCTTCGACGGCTTCAGTTTCTTCAACAGCATTCGCTTCACTGGCATCGGCGGAGGTTTCTTTTGCTGCGGCGATAGGTGCGGCCTCCACTTCCTCAGCAGTTGGTTGCGCTGCTTGGGCTTCTGGCGCTGACTCAACAGGTGGCAAATAGATGCTTTGCGGCGCTGCAGCGTCACCGACAGCTGTGGGAGGCAAATACACATCTACTGGTGGCGCTAAAATTTCAGAGACATCGCGGATGAGTCGGTGGTGCTGCTGTTGAAAGGGGAGCCCTGCAACCGCAGCCACAAGGCACAAGACGACAATGGCGATTTTCTAAAAGTAAACAAATTAAAAAGTAAATATTAGAAAACAATTCAAAGAATTGTTGAGAGAATTTCAATAGCGTTGACTTTAAAGCATTGACGTGCAAAAAAATTCAAATTATTTTTTAAGTGGAATTTTTCGCAATTACCATTTTTGTTATTTCCAAATTAAATTTTACTATTAACACTGTTAATAAATAATATTTCTCCGCTTGGCTGTGGCCCACTGAACTATATGCAAACGAATGATGTTGATGTTGAAATTTAATTTTCTATTTATATGAAAAATTAACGCTTCAACGCCACTATCCAAAAATAGAAATAAAAAAAAATTTGAAATCAATAAACGAATTATCAAACTCTCTGGCTACGATCCACATTAAACTCTACCCATAATGCGCCGACAGCGCGCGATCTCTTGCCAATCACTCTGCTACTCTGCAGCATTCCATAGCCGCTAATCATATTTCACACTTTGCTCTGCGTATGAAAGCTTACAAACAAAAAAAGCACTCAGGCCCTTGTACCAATTGAAAGCTGTGGAGAGCGTCAGCGGTATGAAGAGAACAAACAAAAGTTGTATGCGTGGTTTACGCATGCGCAAGACGCAAAGTGTTCACAAAATCAGCCAACAATAAATACCAGCATGCTAGGCCAAAGACAACTTACTGTGCTCTTCGTCGCATATCAAAAATACATTGGTGTCTATGGGACTCTTATGTACGGGTATTTCACTTCGCTTGTGGGTCTTTGTACTTTCGAGCAGCAGCACTGCAAATGCGCCCGCAATAGCAAAGTCAACAACAACAACAAGCATAAGTACTTCTGTCGATACCAAAGCCATGCATTAATTGTCTGATGGTCCAGCCTTTCATAACCATTCAGCTCAATTATCAGCTATCTTCCGCTTTAATCTATGGCGCACTTTTTCGGCTTTGTTATATCGCTTTGACAAGCGTGTAATAGCGTGCATTGTGACCTTTAATTGTGACAATACAAAAAAGCTTGGTTTCGGTTATGATTACGCTTATTATTTTTGTCAAGTAATGCGTGGCCACGGTCAAGTACTCCATTTGATACTTTATGTTGACCCAGTGCAATGCAGATTGTGCAGCGGCAGAGTTATAATTTTGGTAAAAAAAAAACAAATAGCTTTTAATAGACTCTTAATTGCTGTAACGCCACTCAGGCGCATGCGTGACTGAAAATATTGTTGCTGCATATCGAAAGAATATTTTATCCTAAGCATTACATTAATTGCTATTATTTGTTACATAAATGCGTTGAGAAGTATCAAAAAGGTGTCGAAATCTCCAAGTTTTTAACCGACTTCAAAATAAGGAGAAGGCTTTCAATTCAGCGGAATATTTTTTTTAGGTATGTTGCCGCATAACTTTGTACCAGATCAACCGATTTCGATAATTCTTTTTTTNATTTGTTTGTTTTCATTTTATAAGTGTCTTGGATGGCAGTAATTTAAATTTTTTTGGCATCTCTCAGACGAGTATTGTTTATAAATATTTGTCAATGAAACTGTCAATATTTGATTGGATATTAACTGGTAGGTGTTGGTAGATAGTTAACGTTTGAGATGATGCTCAAAGTGAAACTGATATTAATAAACAACAGTGGTTAGAGATAATTAGTTTTATGCTAACTAAATTTGAGACTGTAGATTAGTGACTTTTTTGGGGCTTGCCCCATATTTTTCTTTTTATGACCTGTTCAGAGCCCTTTTGCCTTTTCTTAATTGGCACTGCAACAGCTTAGGCGTTGTTGGCTCATTACAACTTCTCATCCAAGTCATGACTTCCTATTGCCAGCTTTAAAAACATTAAATGCGGTACCCAGTACGTGTTTTTAAAGAAAAAATATATAAGTTGGAGAAATATAGATTGAAATAAATAAAAGGTAAACGTTTGCCTTATACTTTTCTGAATCGAAAATAGTTAGTAATTTTCGTCTTTTATTTTGAGGATATTCCTAAAAGTATGGTTATGTACTCTTGAATCTATGCGCATCCGGGAAAATTCCTATCAAGTCCCTAAAATTCCTAATATAACGTCGAAAAATCTGCAAAGCTCCCATAAAAATCCGAAAACAATTTCGATGTAATACAGAAAAGCTGCAAAACATCCCAAAAGTTCCCAGAACACCCTGAAAAATTCCAAAAAGTTTCCGTAAAAAAAAGCCAAAAATTCCCGTAAAATTAATAACGAAGATTCGGGAGAATTTCTGGCAAAAAATGTGACGATAGCGCAAAAAGTCAGTCCGCGAAAATCTTGAAAGGTGTGAAAGACGCGTAAAGTTAGGCAACAAATGACTGGTTGTTCTCTGGTGTAGAAAATATCAAGCAATTTTAGTGTTTTATTTTATTCAATAGCCGGTTTCACGAAAGGAATTTAAGTAACAAATTATTTTTGTATTGGAGTTTAATATGAAAACTTTCACAAAAGAAAAATCATTTTTCACTTAATTATTGATACTTGATTAAATTTTGAAGTCTTCAGGACATCATAAATTTTTTTTTTTAGAATGGCTGTTTCATTTCATTATCTACCCTTTAAAAAAATTTCTGAGTGCTCCGAGTTTATGAATCTAAAATGAATCCTTCTTTCGTCATAAATATGATTCTGCGCCCAGTCAACAAGACGTGACTCATTTCGAAATCTTTTGGTGTCATAACATCTAAGTTAAACAAAAGTAACAAAGTTCATGTACAAGTTAAAGTTTATTGATAATTACTCGCAAGTCGGTTCGGATGTGTTAATGAAAATAAATATGTGTTAGTTACGCCGACATGACTCTGAATGACTCAACTGTGTGTAGTCGAATGGCGAGTCAACACCTAATCAGAAGACTCGCGTGTCAGACCCACCGTCCATGGCACCTATAAGACTCAGCAAAAGAGTCATATCTCAGACTCTAATATGACTCCTAACTTGGACTCATGTTGGTGAGCCCTTCTAAGAAGGAAAAAGTGTTCCCACCAGTTAACACATCCAAGATAAACCCATTGAGATTTTGGACAAAATTTTGAAAAAAAGTTTCTGGACTAAGTTTTACGCACTCATTTTTGATGGAACTCACGGTCCAGCATTAAAAGCTCAGGTAGTGTATGACTTGAAATTGGATTAAATTTTCTAAATGAGGCAAACTCGAGTTTCCCTCTTAAAATGATATTTCACTTTATAAGCAAAATCAAAGCAAAATTGTATAATTGATGTAGGAAACATCGATTTTCCCATGATTAACTTAAAAGTTGTGGTTCATCAGATTCATCATCATCAGCAAAATCAAAGCAAAATTGTATAATTGATGTAGGAAACATCGATTTTCCCATGATTAACTTAAAAGTTGTGATTCATCAGATTCATGACTTCACCTTATTCACTTTTGTGAAACAAGACGGGTGCAAAGGCACGATGCTATCAGCCTTATCAGGAGTTTAACTTTCGCCCGAAATTATCCACTTTTCGCTTATGTGTATGACGAAAGAAAAAATTCAGGGGAATTCGTTTTCGGGCGAAACTCATGATAAATTGTCGGAGCTCTGATAAAAATAAGCGAGTGGAAGGCATCAACAATATTATATGTATAGGGGTCATTCCATACAAAATTGACACCTCAATATTTTTTTTGGTGTGAAATACATTTTTTTAACTTCTTTGTTGAAAAAAGAAACCTATTTTTTTATTTCATCATGATATTCGAAAATCTCGAAAAAAAAAATCCGAAATTTTAAACTCACAAAGAAGTAATCGCATTTTCTTAACTTTTTTTTATGTTAATTATACACCTACTGTTTGATTTTTGTTTTTTTTTTTGGTAATCTAAATAGTTGTCAAACTTTATGGAGTATACTGTAAAAATTTCAGAATTGAAAAACCAAAACTGCAGCTGTTTCAGCGCCCAGACCTGCGCTGCCAGTGCTGCTTTATGCACGCAGGCATGAAAAACTGGTAACTTACAGTGCCGAACAGAAGTATTGGCACAGTGAATTTTTCGCAATATATGCAAAGTTCTTTATTCTAATTTAGTTTCGATAATTTTTTGTAAAAATATTGTTCATTCTACGCCAGAAAACATAATAATAAAATCTCTAAACTTTGTGCAAAACTCAGGAAAATTCATAAAATTTGCACACTTATTTGCAACTTTTTATTCAGGTTTTTTAGAAAAATTCTAAGTATGCAGTTTTATAGCCCATTCAAATTTAGAATAACAAAGTGCAAGTTTGAAGTTCTTCCATACAAAGTAATTCGACAATTATTTTTTGTATGGAGAAAATGAGCAACACCTTCCACTAAAAAAATTGCCAACAATCAACGCGATTTTCTAGCAACTTTAAACTTGCACTTTGTTATACTAAATTTGAATGGGCTATAAAATTAGAATTTTTTTTTTTAATCTGAATAAAAAGTTGCAATTAGTGTGCAAATTTAAAAAAATTTCCTGAGTTTTGCACAAAGTTTAGAGATTTTATTATTACGTTTTCTGGTCTAAAATGAACTATATTTTTATAAATAATTATCGAAAATAAATTACAGTAAAGAACTTTGCATATATGGCGAAAAATTCACTGTGCCAATACTTTTGTTCGTCACTGTATACACTGCTGGTTTTACCATTCTCAGATTTTTACAGTGTGCAGTGTACTTCTTGTGAGCTCAAAATTTCGGAGATTTTTTTGCGCGATTTTCGAACATCATGATGAAAAAAAAAATTTTATTTTTTTCGATAAAGATAAAGAAATATTTCACACCAAAACAAAATATTGAGGTGTAAATTTTGTATGGAATGACCCATATGCTGGTTGTGCTGTTCTAAAATCTCTCTTAAAGTGGACATAATAAAAAATCTCATCGATTTTGATTTTGATTCATAGTAAGATTTGGTGGCCTTCTGAGTGATGACAGTATCACGCATTTGCATTTGCTTGATCAAAAATTCACGTAAAACAATATTTACTTTCTGAATTGCGGTGCCTCATATATAGCCTCAGCCAGCTCACAAAATGAGGACTGACTTATCTAACCGGCCTCGTAAAACTGTTTCAAAAGAAATTATACACCTTTTTTTCGCTAATATAAGCCCACTGTGGTAACTTCTTATTCTGCTTACTCTTACCAAATTTCATTCAACGCACATTTCAAATATTTGTACAAGTCAATGTCAAGTACAATAAACGTTATGCTGCGTTGTCGAAATTCAATGTCAATAGCATTGAGACAGACAAAACGAAGAAAGATGAAAAAATATGGAAGTGTATCAAAACTAACGAAAAAATACGCAACCAAAGCGGCATAAAGTGCGATAGAATATCAATACGACACGTGCTCAAACCAAAGAAGAAGTGGTAGGCAAACGTCAGAAGAAAAAGAAACACTTGAGAAAACGAGTATAAAAATTAAACGAAAGTGTTTACACAATAAATTTTAGATACTGCTACACGTATGTATGCA